CCCCAAAACCCCAAAACCCCAAAACCCCAAAACCCCATTTAACTGCATTTATATTTAAAAACAAGAATGTTAATTGTTAAAATATTAATGATAAGAAATCAAGAAATTGAACTAAACTACCTATAGTGGCTTAATTTTCTATTTTAACTATAAATATATCTGTTGTCATATAATGATAACTTCTGTTTTCTTTACCTTCTTTTTGAATTATTCAGTGCACTTATTGTCCAAAAGGATGATCTTCCAAATCTATTAAAAGTACTTATTCTAGATACCATCTAAAAATTATTGTGCGCCAGAGTCTTTAATAAAGTTCATTTGTAAGTTGAGAATTTTTAGAGATGTGTTCTCTTACATTACTGTTGCTAGATCAGTCGCTCCTACATCTGTTATGTTGTTATTGTAAATAGTCAATTATTCAAGTTCAATCGGATTTATATGAGATTTTTCTAATAGTCTACATAACTATTTGGCTCCTGAGTCCAATACATTGTTGTTTGAAAATTGGATATTCTTTAGATTATTACAATGCATGAGAGCATCAACTAAAAGTGGAAAATCAGGCTCATGGAAAAAGAAGCCATGCAGTTCAAGGGAGGTAAGCTTAGTATTAACTTCAATACATTATGCAAGACTTATAGTTCCTAATGGTAATAGTGGTACCTCTATATTACTCAGAATAACATTCATGATATTGTTATAGAGCTTTAAAACATGAAGATTAGATTTTCTTCCAAAGAAATTAGATAGAATAACTATACCAATGTCAGTTAATTAACCATTTGTAATTGAAAATTTGGCTATATTTTCATCTACAACAGTAAGCAAAAAATCATGAAGCTCTTCATCATTTATCATCTTATTAGCATATATAAATAAACCCTCTTTAGGCCTAGTATTAAATGAGAAGCATTTAGTTTTATCTTAAAGAACAGACTGAGCATCAGGATTAAGCTTTATTTAGCTGAGTCCACTTGTTTTAGCTGAAAGATTTACCTTTCTAGAATTTCCAGATAGTTTTTTCCTATTTAGATTTAGATTCTAATTGATATTAGTTATTAGCTCCATATCTCTTTGATTGTCATCACCTTTTTCTGCTGATCTTGACTTTATTAATTGTAGGTCTAAATTAGTTTGGCTAGGAAGTTTACTTCCGTTTTCATCAAAATAATTTAAGTCCTAACTTAGAAATCTGGCTTAATTTTTTCTGGTTGAAGCCATTAATCCTTTTTCATCCATGTTTGTAAGATTATTTATCATTTGAGTCTCGGGGATAGTTTAGCCATCCTACTATTGATTCCTATCTGTCAATTCTAAGTTATTCTAGCTCTAAGGCTATTCATAATTACTATTTTTCTAGCCGAGTAGATAGAGGAATTTCTACTTTACACTCTCAGCAACTTTTATACTATTTTTAATGTTCATAATGGATTTATTAGAAGGCTTCATGGCGAATTTGCCATTGCTACCTCTGGTATGCTCTTGCTGTGACTTTCCTGATGCTCTAGGCTGCTTGTGTTTATTGCTAAACCTGAATAGTGTTGAAAATGAATCTTTCTTGGAATGATTTGAATAGACCATGAGATTACTATTATTTTAATCCAAATAGTTACTGTACTTATCTTAATTAAGACTCTCCTGTCCTATTCTTTCCAATAATTTTGGTCTGTCTTCTCTATTTTTCCCTGATAAATTCGACGATTGTATTATGCTAAATCTTCCTTGCTCCATATTATCATCTTTTCCATTTTTTTAATTTTACTTGTTAAAAGTAGATTAATTTTGCAGAGTTGAACGCGGATGCATACTTTACTAATGCTTAATAGCTGACAAATTTTAAATGTTTTTATCAGATAGATGCTTCTATGGTGGACTAAAATTTCTCTCAAGCTATCTCTGCTAAAACTCTCTAACTGGAGTGTCTTGAATCAGAAGATTAGACTAACGTCTTTAAGGTTGATCTTGGACGGTTTCTTCCATTACTCTTGAAGCTCGTCGATTATGTTTTCCTAACAGCATGTTTTGACTAAGAATACAGGGATGTCAAATATATATAATTTGATATTTTAATATTTTAGAATATTAATAATCTAGAGTTATTAAGGAACAATTTCTATTAGTTTGAGAACTAATTATTAATCTTTTAAGGATCGATTTTAATTTTTAACTTTAATGCTAACTTTCTTGATATTATTCTTAATTGATAACAAAGTATAATAAATTAATAAATTATAAATATTGCTAATAATCATGAGTGATGATGAGCAGCAGGACTTGAATCTTTATGGTAAATATTTCTCATTTCTCCCCTACTAAAATTAAATCACTCATGCCTATACTAAACATCAAATATAGATGATATATCTACGTAGTTCAAAAAGTCCGGTGAAGATGCGATTGCAAAGTACAAGAGATAGACCGACGAAAGGAAGAAGCAAGCAGCTTAAATTGATGCAAAAGGCGGTAAAAATAGAAATACTGGAAAGCATAATCATGCTTCTGATGAGAGTCAAGATGAGGAAGATAAAGAATCTTATTATGACTCAATGGAATACGGTGACGAATTCAATGATTAAGAGGAATAAGATTACAAAAAAGAAAAGCAATCAGATAGGAAATCTAAGCAATAAACCGAATAGGTATAATAAAAATAGCAACAATTAAAAAGTAGTCTCAAGAGAACGACGAATTAAAAAGTAGTCGCAGTTTAATCTGAAAGCAGCTCAGAATCTGACGATGAGGAACAGGAAGAAGAAGAATCAGTAGCTAAAAACAAATCAACAAGCAGACCTTCAAGAAGAAATAATAGAGGATAGCAGTAAAAGATAGTATCACAAAATATTAAATAAAGCGCTAGCAAATAAAATAAACTAGAGTCAGAGGCAGAGTCTGAATAAGAGGAAGAAGAGTTAGACGAAGAACATGAGGATGATGATGAAGAGGAAAATGAGTAATAAGAAGATGATATAGATGACGAAGAAGGTGAAGATGAATAAGAAGAGGATGAGGAGGAAGAAGAAGAGGAAGAGGAAGAAGAAAAATTGCCAGAACCAAAGGTATTACCTGAGAGATCCACTAGAGGGTAAAGAATGAATCTTCTAGTTGGTAAGGCACTTGAGGAAGACTAACAATTTTGGAACCAAGGAGTTTTTGAAGAGGATTAATCTGATGATGATTTTGACTCAAAAGAAGTTTCATTATCTGCTGGATAAGATTCATTCGACTCAGATTTTGAAGAGTCAGATGGACAAGAGTCATAAGAAGCTAAGGATAGTAAGTCTAAATCAAAGAATAAGAATGAGACACCCTCAAAGAAAAGGAAATCTTCTAATTAAAATTAGGATTCCGAAAATGATTATGAGGAGGATAGAAATCTTGCGGCTGAGGAAAAAAGGTAGAACTAGAAGAAAAAAGTAACATTTGGACATGAAAAAGCCAAAAAGAGCAGGGATCTAAAGAGGAAATAAAAAGAAGAGCAAAGGTCTCGTAAAAATGAAAAAGAGAAAGATAAGGCACCTACTGAAGAAGATTAGTAAGAAGATGATAAGAATGAAGAATAGGGATCTGATGATGATGACGAAAAATCTTTTGATTTGTAAAATGATATTAGAAGAAGTTCAAGGTTAGAGAAAAAGATAAAGAAAAAGGATTCAAATGATCCTACCTCCATTTTAAAGAAAAGAGAAAAAGAAAAAGAGGGAAGCGATAATGAGGATTAATCAGGTGAAAAGAAAAAGAGACCTAGATATGCAAGAGCCCCACCAGGATCATTGGCAAACCCAGACTGGGATTGAATGTTGGGACTTGATGCCTAGTCTAAATGGTCTGAATTGCTGAATAAAGAGAAATTAACTCCCTTAGAAATGATGTAGGAAGCAGCATTTACTGAGTTGATTAATAAGAGATCTTTGGAGTAATTGGAAAAATTAGAGAATGAAAGATAGAATGAACTTACTGAGAGGAAAAGTATCTTCGCACCTGATGAAAAAATTATCAAATTCAAATCAACTACCAGAGGAGGGTAATTCATGAGCACCTATACTTTTCCTTCTGCTGATCATTACCCAAAGAATTTTAATACTAAAATTTCAAAGAAGGACGGGCTTAAATATCAAGAGATAACTTGTCCCATTACAGGAAAGCCAGCTAAATATAAGGATCCATTGACTCAGTAACCTTATGCTAACAAAGATGCATTCAAAATTATTAGGGAAAAGTATTTCTCGAAAGAGGAAGAAAAACTGTTTGTTCGATTGCAAGTTTTGAATGATTTATTAGCCTAGAAGAGAGATAAACTTAGAAGATATCATCAGGGCAACAGAAATTTAGATCTTTAGGATCCAATGAGGCAAACTATTTTGAAAAATTTAGCTGCTTCATAAAATGTTAAGAAACCCTACAATGCTCTTGGTATAAACGACGATGGATAAAATTAACACATTATGCAATCTGAAAATTTGGGTCAAGAAAAGAATAAGCAGGATGATGGGGAGGATAGATAATTAGAAGAGGAAAATATTAATTAGGGAGATTCTCAGATTTAAAATGAGATTATTGTTGATTCGCATTTGGAGTAGGCTAACAATATATTATAAGAGGATGACAGTAATGTAAAAATGGAGGTAGAATGATTAATTAGTCTTATTTTTTAAATAATCTTAAATAATAGATGTTTTGGTATAAATTTTAATGCAGAAATTATATATTATCTTATAAATCTGATAAAGTAGCCTCTGTATCGATTATTGCTACGGGATCACTTCATGTTTCTGATATAGTCTGGAACGTCCTTTAGATATGGGTGTTGCATGGCTTCTTTTGCTGTAATTCTTTCGGCAGGGTTGCATCTTAGCATCTTATCAAGTAAGTCTAAACCTTACTCGTCTAAGGGAACTAACTTAGCTAGAGACTCTCCAATGTATTTAGGGTAGTCTGGTTTATATAATGGCAAATCCTTCATTCCTGGCCAGAGCTCTGGATCTGGAGTACCTCTTCCCTTGAAAATCTTCATAAGTTGATCTTCTTCATTTTATCCTGCAAAGAGTGGTCTTCTGTTAACAATCTCAGCGAAAATACATCCAACTGACCAAATATCTACAGATGTGCTGTAATTTTTAGATCCCATTAAAATGTCTGGGGCTCTGTACCAAAGAGTGACAACCTCATGAGTAAAATTTTTCACTGGAATACCAAAAGCTCTGGCAAGACCGAAATCAGCCAATTTTAGAATACCCTCTCTGTTGATAAGTAAATTCTATGGCTTAAGATCTCTGTGAAGAATCTTGTGCTGGTGACACTTTGCAACACCATTCAATAGTTAGTAGAGGAACGACTAATTATAATAGTAAGTTGAAAATAAGTTACCTTGATTGAAGATTCATATAGTCCTTGAGGACCGCATGTGTCCAATAATCTTTTTAAGTCTTAATGTAAGAATTCGAAAACCAAGGTCAATTTTTTGTCAGTGTGGAGAACATTAACTAATCTCACAATGTTTGGGTGCTACAACTCTCTTAAAAGTGCTATTTCTCTAATAGCAGTACTTGGAATTCCTTCATCTTCACTCTCTAATCTGATCTTTTTAAGAGCGTAAATTTCTCCAGTATCTACATCTCTAGCCTTGTAGACTACACCATAGGTACCTTCTCCGATCATACCAAGCTTCTCATATTTGTCAATCTTAGATTTCATCATTTTCGTAAGTTAATAATTATTAATTAAGTTGAGGTATATAATTATAATTAATAAAATATGACTGAGTATCTATACGATAGAGATAACCCAAAGAGTCACTTCAGATAGAGAATCAGCGGTATCCAAGGTCTTTTCTATGGTGTTCCAAACATCAATGAGAGAGCTGATATGATCGGCAGGTATGAAAAAAATCTAATTTTTAATAATGTTTTTTATAGATCTCTTGCTAAGGAGACTGATGGTGATTTCACAAAGTTTGTTACATCAACAAGAAAACCAAGAGATATGGCTCAAAAATGGAGAGCCTTCAAGAACATTGCCAGATTCTACAAGAATCCATTTGGCTATCTCTTCTGGAAAATCAACCCACTCCACTCTCAAAACAGAATCAGACTCGTTTGGGCTCTCTTGATCTGGCACTTATCATAATCTTTCCTTCTCTGGATTGCCATTAAAAACAGTAATTATTAAATGAATTAATATTTTCCTAATAGAGAAGGAGAGAATGATTGAACACTGGAGATATAGAGTTGGTGAGGTCAACAAGATGCACACATCTGGCCACAGTGACAGAAGATTCCCAGTTGAGAGAAAGAAGAACTATGTTAGATACTCCAACTTCCATCAGATCAGAAGAAACAAGAGAATTAACATGATCATGACCAACTGGTGGTGCAGAGACCAAAACTTCAGAAAGTACTTCGAAATGAGAAAGAGACACGGTATCAGACCATCCACCTCTGGTTTCTATCACGAGAAAATTTACACTGATGTTGCCAAGCAAAATCTTCAAATCTCTCAAATGAGACATTCAAGAACTGCTCTCTGAGCACTTGATTGCTTTCATGCGCTTCAGGCTTATTTAATTTAAATCTAAGCATAAATATTATTCTTTTCAAATTACCACCCTTTGAGCGTTGGGGTTTTGGGGTTTTGGGGATTTTGCTTGGCAACATCAGTGTAA